TCGAAGAAATTGGCCGTAAACTCTCTTTCGGGACCGGAACAAGGTTTGGTATATTGTACAGTAATAGTGGTTTTTCGTGANGGTATTCTAGTCATTTCACAAATATTCTTCTCTCGGAATCATTATCCTTTTGTTTCTGCATCTGTAGTAAAGTCATTTCACAAAACGAATCTTATGAAAGAGAAAGCAAAGATATTCATCTTATAACTCAAATCAAATTTGAGATTCGATAGCTTTATAGAAGTTGAGTCAAAAACAAGCCCACATGATCTAATACACGTTACAAGTCTCTGTTGAATCGGAAACAAAAAGGTCTTAAGCTTTGATGACAGTGTTCCTTCATGGTGTGTAATTCAGTTTCTCCTCTTTGCACGTCTTCTTTCGGCTTCATTCTCTGTGACCACGACGTGAAACTCTGATCCAAGCATGTCGTATATGTCGATATTCTTTGAGTTGCTGAGGTTAAAAGTCTCCATGATCACTTCTAGATCCATGGTGAAGCCTAGATTAGATAAGACACGTATTGCATTCCCGATTCTGCATATGCATTGTCGAGTTTCGAGCGTAGTATGGCTTTGATCTTTCAGAGTGTTGTTGGTGGAGGATGAGACCGTCTCATCATTCTTTTGATCAACAATTATCATAGGATCTCTGACTTCGACGTGCTCTCCAACCCATATGAAACCATTGCAGCCGAGAATCAAATCGATCCCAAGAGTATCTACGTAATGAAAGTGGTGTTTGCGTCTCTTAATCAAGTAAGGATCAACCTTCAGAAGCTGTCCTTTCTCGAGCTGTATCAATTCAAGGATTAATCATTTGTTTAGAGGAAGAGACTAGCAAAAGATATGTGACCAGATAAGAACCACCAACCTTGCCATACTTCTCGCTTCTTGCGTGTAGCTGCAAACTGCCATCCTGCTGAATGTTGCGAACTTCAGTCTGAGAGTTTGTACAAGTCAAAGAGGGAACCTTTTTGTTAATGTGTTCAAGATTAACCTATGTACATATGAGCGTTTATTAAATCATAGGACTTACACAAAGGACATCGTGCTCTACAAAGATATTCCGCATATTAAGTTCATCCACAGACGTTCTTCGCCTCTGCCAAAACCGAGATACTTAAATCATTGAAGCTAACATACAATGTGGGATCTATAAGACAGTGTCACCCAAATTGCAAGTACCAAAAGAAGTGGGGATTATACCTGTTCACCATCGGGATTGGTCATTGAAGAAAGCATCAATACTCCATCCTGAGCAAAGTTGAGCTCTACTCTCCAACGTTTTTGAGAAACCTATGTAAGTAAGATGATGAAGATATTCATTCAGCGATTAAGCAATCTGATTGAGACCCTTTTGCTAATCTCTCAAATCCGATTCCAAAAACCCAATACAAACAAAAACTACCTCAATGACACGGCCTACCACAATATCCCCAACCTCAGGCTTGTACCTAAACGCAGATCGTTGAACCATCAGTTCTACTTAATCTCGGAGTAGAGAAATAATTTCATTCACAATCAGAGAGGAAATCAAACCACCTGGCTCGCAAGGTGCGTACATAGACGAGCTTATCCACGCGCTCCACAACTCCACACACCGTCGCGAGCAACTCACCGTCGACCTCGGAAGTTCCGTGTCCCCTTTAATCAAAAACCAAAAGTGAAGTAAAGAAATTGAAAAAAAATTCAATCCAGAGAAACGGAGAAGCTGGGATTACGAGAGAGTACGAGAAGGAGATGAAGTTACTTGAGGAAGGCATCATCGTGGTTAACAGGAATGGAGTCGGTGACGATAACAGAGGCGTCGGAGTTCGCTGTCGACGACAGTGATTGAAGCCGCTCGATGGCTCTCTTAAACCTCACCTTCTGCGTCTGGCTCAACGGTAGCTCTAGCTTTCTCATCACCATTAGAGATTCTCTCTCTCTCTCAACCTCCGTAAATCCAAGCGACACAAAAATGGCGATTGAAAAATCAAGCTTTGGGGAGAGAAAAGCAAAAACCTCAGAATGTAGTTCTCTTGAATGAATTCTAGGGTTTTGGGTTAGTTATTGGATAGATCCAAACTTTATGGCCCATTTATAAACTAGTCTGTTTAGGCCTTTTCGGGTTTCTCTAAAATATTTAATTAATCTGATTAATTGACGCCAAAATGATCTGATAATTGTATTAATCATTTTATTTTCGTAAAAAATATTTTAAACCAAAATTTACCTTGGTAGTTCTCTTTACATTGGTTTATTTGGATAAAATCGTATTTTCTTTTTGCTTTTTAAAATTTAAACTATAGGTTAACGATGAACGAATATAGTTTTCAAAATAATGTAATTATTAAACACAATAATTAAAATAAATCTACTATATAAAAGAAGGATAGGCCTCTCCAGCTCTTGACACATCAGCCCCTAAAAATTGACACGTATACAAGAAAAAAAAAAACCTTTACAATCTCGTCGTCTCCTCTTCCTCCTCTCTGTTACGTTTCTCTCAAATTGAAAATTCGAAACTCATCGTCTCCTCTTCCTCTTTTCTGCTACGGTTTCGTCGCCTCAAATTCCTCCAAACGTTTCTCTTCAATTGCGCACAATCGTTTATATAATGGTTCACGTTAAGTTTTTGCATTAAAAAAAAAAACCTATGCGTTGGTTTCAAACTCGGAGAAGAAGTCTGTGAGATTCTTTGTTCTTCACGATAATTTCGAAGCTGAAGCTGATTTTCAGGGTTTCAAAGATGTGATTCTTCTATTGATTGTGATGAGTGATGACAATGATTTCGATGTCGATGCGATGTGAAACCGTTTGGGTTCATTGCGACTCCGAAACCAGTCGTCTCCTCCGTCGAAGGTAAATATTTGGGAATTCTGTTTTATTTTTGAGCAATTGATTTGGGTCCAAGTTAACTTCTCGATTCGATTTAGCTATCTTCAAATATTGTTCCTTTACTATGAAATTGAAAGATCAGATTTTGGTTTCACTTTGTTGTTTAGAAACTGAAGTATCATTCATAGCTTCTAAGTTTTTCTGTACAGTTCTTAATCTTTGGAATCATATGTTCTTAGATATCTTTATATAGTAGCTGATTTTGATCCTTCTTTTTTAACATATTGAGATATCTACAACATTCTCTTTTCTAAGTTCTTGATTATGATCTTTGTGTTTAATAATTGTTGAATATTATTAATTCCCTTATTGATCAATGTGTTTATATAGGAAGCGTTGGAAGCTCATGATGGAGCAAGCAAAGGGAAATATACAATTGGACTTGGCCAAGATTGCTTAGCTTTTTGCAGAGCTTGAAGATGTGATTTCAATGAGGTTTGTTTTTCGTGCTTTTCTTTGCATATTTATTTATATGTTCTCTTGCAAAGGCTGAATGAATCTGTTTCTTGGGTGTGTTTCGTAGTTTCAATGCGGTGACATCTCTTCTTCAGAAGTATAAAGGTTGACCGGAACCAAATCGGGTGTTGCCTCGACCAATGCCTGTTATGGAGGAACTGCGGCTTTGTTAAACTGTGTCAATTGGGTTGAGGGTAACTCGTGGGATGGACGCTATGGCCTCGTCATTTGTACTGCAGCACGGTATAATATCAACTTAGAATATCTTTAATGTCTAAGAGTCTATGCATAATTTTTCACATGTTTATATATTTGAATGCTTTCAGGTTTATGCCGAAAGGACCCGCGAGGCCCACTGGAGGAGCGGCAGCTATTGCTATGTTGATAGGACCAATGCTCCTATCGTTTTCGAAAGCAAATTGAGAGGAAGTCACATAGCTCACGTGTATGACTTTTACAAGCCAAATCTTGCTAGCGAGTAGCCGGTAATCTCAACCACTGGCAGAGAACAATCTTTCACAAAATTGCATAAAGTCTTACAAAAGTTTCTTGAGCATTTAAAAGAAACATAATTGTGCTTTCGTGTACTTGCAGGTTGTTGATGGTAAGCTTTCACAGACTTGCTACCTAATGGCACTTGACTCTTGCTATAAACATTTATGCAACAAGTAAGTAATCTTTTTTTTCTTACTGTTACAAAAAACTCAGTTTCTTACTTCTGGTGTTCTGTGTAACTCATTTCAATTCTTTGGTTATAGGTTCGAAAAACTTGAGGGCAAAGAGTTCTCCATCAATGATGCGGACTACTTTGTTTTCCATTCTCCATACAACAAAGTAATTTCTTCCTCCAACAATAGTTTTGTTCTACTTGAGTTGTCTCTTACCAGTCTTCTCGTCATTTTCTATTGCAGCTTGTATAGAAAAGCTTTGCTCGTCTCTTGTACAACGACTTCTTGAGTTGCTTATTTAATTGTGTCTTCAAATTGAGAGTTCCTTACTTGTTTTATTATGAGTAACATTTTCTTTCCTCTATTGTAGCTCCATTGATGAGGCTGCCAAGGAAAAATTCACCCCTTTTTCATCGTTGTCCCTAGACGAGAGTTACCAAAGCCGTGATCTTGAAAAGGTTTTTCGTTGTTTCCCTTCTCTTCTGTTTTTGATACCGAGAGAAATTGTGTTGTAGCTCAATTTTGTTTGCCTCTTTTGCAGGTGTCACAACATCTCGCGAAATCGTTTTATGATGCTAAAGTGCAACCAACGACTTTAGTACCAAAGGAAGTCGGTAACATGTACACCGCTTCTCTCTATGCTGCATTTGCTTCNCTCATTCACAATAAACACAACGATTTGGTAATATAAGAAAACAAACTTCTGATATTATTGGAATCTATTACATGTGGTTTTAGGTGGTTACATTTGTGTTTGGGGTCTTATTGTATAGGCGGGAAATCGGGTTGTTATGTTCTCATATGGAAGTGGTTCAACCGCAACAATGTTCTCATTACGTCTATGCGAAAATCAATCTCTTTTCAGCCTTTCAAGCATTGCATCTGTAATGGACGTTGGTGGGAAGTTGAAGGCTAGACATGAGGTAACTAAACAAACAAAAAGAATTCACAATCCTATTTTCGATGATTCGGTTTATGAAATATATTATCCGCATAATTTGGTCCGGCTTTGGTTTCCGGCATGATTTTATCTTCAATTAGTAACTGATTTTCAAAGAAATTGAGCTTCTAATCGGTTTCTTTGGTTCAATGAATTTGAACCAGTTTAGTACTTGTTGGGTTTGGATTGGATCGCTTAAACTGGATTGGTTACGCCTCCTGGGGCATGTTTATTGCAGTATGCACCTGAGAAGTTTGTGGAGACAATGAAGCTAATGGAAACATAGGTACGGAGCAAAGGACTTTGTGACGAGCAAAGAGGGGGTATTTTAGACCTTTTGGCTCCGGGAACATATTACCTGAAAGAGGTTGATTCGTTGTATCGGAGATTCTACGGGAAGAAAGGCGACGATGGATCCATTGCCAATGGACACTGAGCCTTGAGTCTTGAAGGAAAATCATGAAATCACCTGAAAATGGTCTCTCTGTCTTTTTAACGGTTTTATAAGTTTGTCGTGCGTGTACTTTGATTTAGGGACGAATAAGTGTATGCTCTGTTTTTATTTACTACTATTGATTTGCTGTTGAAATCTATTTTTTTTCTGTTTGTGGTTTTAACTAAGTTCGATTAATTTAGGGATTATTAAAAGTGTAGAAAAACATTAAAATGAATATTATACGGTTTTCTTGATTATTTTTTTTGGGGTCTAATTATCGAAGGTATGTAAGGTTTTTTTAATCGTCTGAATGATATTTTAAAAACCATAGCCAACAGTTTAATAACAAAAACATGAAACAACAACATATAGATTCTTCTTTTTTATTAAGTGACCGCAACTGTTACATTTAATCTCGATAAGACAATATATGCGAATCAGAATCACTATCATGTCGTGACCGCCAAAACTTCAAACTTGCGTCATATACGCACTGGTATACAAGGTTTTGTTGATGCATTTATCTTTCTTGGAATGCCGTTTGATTCATCTCAGATATACTTGCTTTGTCTAAGTTAATCAATTTTTCCAAGTAATTTCTCTTTTGATTTGGTGCTTACACGAAACAAACTAATTTTACGATATAAAACTCAAAAATAATTAACTAGGATAAGACCAAATACATATTAAATAAAATGTACAAAGAATACTTATGGTTCAAAAATTTGAACAAGAAAACAAATACATTTACAACAAAACCCGTATTCACCTAGTGCCTAATAATTTTGTATTAGATGCCTGAATTTTTTTAATTTTTACCATGATATAATACTTTTAAGTGATAATTGTCGAATAAAAAATATTTTTTAAGGAAAAGAAATTAGGGAAAAATGGAATAATGCTCTTTCTTTTTTGGACAGATAAAGAAATTTGACGTCTCTCCTTTGGTTATATCCGAAGCTTCAAGTCTTGTGATCTTCCGATTTCTGACTCCAAATTCATTCTTCCATCAATCAAATTGTTTGAAAACCCTATTTCCATATAGCACCAATCGGTAAGATCTGAGCTTTCCGCCATGAATTTCTTCAAATCCGTCTTCTCCGACGACCCAGATCCTCCAGGAACCGAATCGGAGTCCGATTCACCGAAAAACAGCGAACAGCACGAAGCCCCAGAGCAATCTAACCCTGAAGACGACGGAGGATGGAGTTTCGGTGGTCTGATGAAAACCATAGCCACCAGATCCGAATCAGTAATCGAAACATACCGAAAAGATCTCGAAGAATTCGGTACAGGTTTGAAGAAGGAGATCGAAGTAGCGCAGGGATCTCTTGGTACCGTTGGACATGCCATTGACGAACTTGGGAACACAGTGCTTAAAGGTACGGCTGAGATCATAGCTCAAGGTAAAGAAGCGATTTTAGCTGCTGGTAACGAATCTGATTCTTCTGATAACAATAGCAGTAACAGTTTTGGTCGTCGTGATAGCTTTAGCTCGAAACCATATAGTCGTTTCGATGCTCAGGTTCGTGCTGTTCAAGGCGATATCAACACTTACTGTGAAGAGCCTGAGGATTCAGATGATTACAAAAAGTGGGAATCTGAGTTTTCTATGGAAGATAAAGCTGAGGAGATGGAGAAATTGTTGGAGGAAAATGGAGATATGAAAGGATTGTATAAAAGAGCTGTTCCTAATATGGTTGATCATGAGACTTTCTGGTTTAGGTATTTCTATAAGGTTTACAAGCTCAAGCAAGCTGAAGATTTGAGAGCTAATCTTGTGAAACGAGCTATTTCGTTGGATGATGAGGAAGAGTTGAGCTGGGATATTGATGATGAAGAGGAGACGACTAGTGAGAAAGTTACTGAAGCTACGAAAGAAGTTTCAAGATTGAAACTTGAGGGGAATGATGATATGGGTAGTGGAAATGTGAAAGATGAAGTGGCAAGTGCTGATTCAGTGACTGAAAAGAGCGTGAAAGATGAAGTAGTGACAATTGCAGATTCAGTGACTGAAGTGAGCAATGTTGGTTTGAAGACAGATACAGATTCTGAGGAGAAGAAGGAAACTGGTAATGAGGAAGTTCCAGAATCAAAAACAGTTGTTGATGCTGCTGCTTCTGCAATTGATGAGTCTCCAATTCAAGATTCGGGCAAAACCGAGGCTGTTCCAAAATCTGATGAGACTGCTCAATCCCAAGTCTCAGCTAAACCAGATGGTGTTGCTTCTTCATCAGCTCAACAACCATTGGAAGAGGATTTGGGATGGGACGAGATCGAGGATATGAGTAGTATCGATGCTAAGGAAACAAATCGGTCTTCGGGTAGTCCAAACAGAGCTGAGCTGCGTAAACGTCTCAGTGC